GAATATCAACTTATGTTGCGAAGGAATTGAACGGTTAAGGCTATGAAGGATTTGCATACCTTTGGAGATTTCGTAAACAGTTCATATATTTAAGCGCCTTTAGGGTTACGAGTTGGTTTAAGGCCAGAACAGTCGAGCAGTGGTTTAACGATTCGAAGACAAACTGAGTTTTCAATTCACAGACCTCAATTAAATCTAACTAATCAATCTAGGAACGATTTTATAAGAGAAACCCAAGAAACATACACTGATTTCAGATAAAGTTCATAAGATGGACAAGAAATGCATGATAATTAATAGTTTTCTTTTGTACCGAAAAGTAGCGCACCTACTTCGCCTACTACAGCCAAAAATGTTATTATCAGAACCATACTGACTAATTTGTCTGTAGATTGTTTATTAACTTGTTTACTTACTTAATTACATGCTCATTTGTTAACTTTGCTAACTAAATGCTTAATTATTTGCTACCTGCTACCCTCTTTACGTACTCACTTGCATCGCTGTTTAGTCATTTCACTGCCAGCGTATTTAATTGCATACTTTATTTCTTAATTAGATATTTGCCTACTTCCCTCAGAGATTATTCATTACAAACAGGCACAGACACTTAATTATTGGGTTAACTATTCAATTACTTCCGCCAAAATGATCTATCTTTACACTAACATTTTCAGTTGCCGATTTACTCGCCCAATTATGAGCAGCCTCTTAAGGCAAAAACAACGAATTTTAGCCTAAGTATTGGATAGATCAGAAGAGATGCCACTGGCGCCTATTTTGCAAAAGGAAATTTGCCAAAGCATCGTTCCTGTACGTACCTTGTACTAACAATATAATTATAACTGTTTGAACATTATCACCGATAGTTTTTCAACATAAATATTTTAAAACCAAAATTCTGCATCATCCATCAGGAAAATCGATTCAACATCGTTCAGCGTTAGCATAAGCCCGTCGAGAATGCGAACGTGGATTTTAAATTTGAAAGCTAAAGTTTAACTACATACTACGCAAGGAAGAATTGAAAAGTGCTTTTTGGGAATAACAGGAAAACATTAAGTCCAGCGAATAGGCAAAACAACACATTAGTGAAAAAAATGGTCAGGGGCGGGATATTTGCAAGAACCGACAACTGCTGAAATTAGACTGGATTCCGATAAACAATGGGCAGCCCGAAAGCAAGAGGACTTCCAGGTCGATAGCAAAATCAGCTACAGAAGTTTGTAGGACCAAGATGGATAAGAATTGCAGGAAAAAGTTGTTTATGGCGAAACCTTGAAGAGACCTTCATTCAGCAGAGGATCAAAAAAGGTTTATGATTATAAGTCCATCGAATGTAATCTATGCCACTGATGCTGTTATTATTATCATATAAAGCAAAGAATGTCTGCAAAGTAAAGTGTAGTCCACCAATCTGGATAAATTTCTGTCGAAGCTTAGTTTATTTCAACAATCGCTGAACGCTACAGTGAATTTTAGATCATAAATAACGGAAAGAGGAAAAACCGATGAAATAAGCCAAGCTCAAACAGCAAGACTCCCTGGTTTGGTAATGTCTCGCATCTTCCCTTTACACTATGATTCCTTAGGCAAAATTAATAAGAAGCGAATCTGTGTTACACTGGTGTATAAATTTTTTGAAAACGGAAACATGGAGCATGTTATACTGAAAAAGCATAGGTCACACGGCTTTATAATCAAACTAGAACAGTCACTCGGAATCATTGGCCTATTTTTATGTAACTTTCATCGTCATCTATTATAGAAACTTCGGAACATTATACGCTTCAAATGTACAAAGTATATATAAGCAACGATACTCATTCACACAAAGCCTGGGTGACGGAAAAATCATGACATTTGGTTTTGCCATTAGAGGCTTGTGATACAATGAGACCAGAAACAGAGGTTCCCTTCATAAAACTCCTTATTTAAACAAGGCTAACCATCGAACTGGCATTGCATCACTGAAGCTAGTGCGCATACTCTCAGGAACAGAAAAGAATGCATTCCAAACGCTTCACGACACGCTGTAACAACAGCTTATATTATGAACTACTAATATAAGAATAGCGAAACGATTTAATCAACGTCAAAGATGGCTCTGCAATAAAAGCTTTCTGCTCAGACAGCTGCTGGAAACTATGACTTCCGGCTGACAAAGAATAACTCAGACCTTTTATTTTAAGATAATCTACGAAGTAAAGTCTCTGAATAAACCGAGTTTCGTCGTA